CCGCGTTCATTCATTCAAGCTTGCTTTCATGATGGCTACACTGTCCCATTTTGAAAGCACCAATGATCATCTCTGGCTTATGCTACGGACTGATGATTGGCTCCTTACTCTGTTTCTCAGGGGACAAGGAAAATGAAATAGAAAACCAGAAAGAGTGACTTATAACTTTGTCAGCAGCTACGCTGGTTAGTGTGGGTAGGAGGTGGCAACAATGGCTGTACTGACTCTTTCTAGAATCAAGGACTGGCCAGGATTCCAGGGCAGGCCGCTAGCCTCAGGCAGAGAAGCCTCAGCTCTCCTGGACACAGGATTTGTCTCTTCTTTCCTTAAACGATTGGGCAATAAAAGGCTGCAACCTCCTTTGAAAGTTGCCCTTTTCAGTTTCATCACAAAAGAATTCTTCCTTAAACATAGCCAAAATATCTCCTGCTTTTATTTGATTATTTTCTCTAGTTTGGTCATCCGCAGAAGTGGAGTGCATTTGCATCCATTAAAAGCTCAAAACAAATAAACAGAAACACCCCAAGGCAATGAAGGATCATAATCAAGCACCTCAAAACCACTCAGCCAGTCTGAAAAAATCTCAGCTCTCCATTGCTCTTTTCTTTGGGTTACCCAGTTTAGCATTCTTATTATTATCACTTGTTACTTTTCTCTGGGTCCTTTGTCTACATTTAGTTTGAAACTGAATGTAATATTTCAATAAGGATCTGGGCTCATGTTGGAAGAATCCACAAAGATCGTTCCTGGCCATGGTATGTTGTATTTCCACTTATACCTCCCAATATGTTGGCAATTTCACGGTCCTACAGACCTGTATTCAGCTAGTTGCCCTGGTCTTTTTCTGCTATTGCTTGTACCTTTTCTTACGGTCTGTCCAGCTTGTTCTTACCTCTCCCATTCTGTTCATCTTTGCATCCCTAGTGCTTGACACAGTTCCAGGCACACAGTAAGCACTCATTAGATTTGGGAGGAATTGGCTTGATGTGCCAAAGGAGTGGTATGGAGATTAGGAGCTCAGAGAAAGGGAGAGCAGATGGGGATTAGAAGAGTCAAGAAGAGCTTCTTGAGGAAGTGGCATTTGGACTGGTCCTTTAAGGAAGAAAGATGTTCGGATGGGCAGAGAGGATGGGGAAAGGCAGTCTAGAAAGTTATGGTACAGTCAAGGTTTTCAGGCAGAGAGTATAGTGCCAAATGCAGGAGGGAGAGTAGTGGGCCATAGGGAGAGAGCCCTCAGTTTGGACAAGGGTTAGCTCCCAATGTCCACTTCTCTTTTCAATTTAAGAATTCTGGTGATTTCCATCTCAGAGAACCAGAAAGAGTGTGACAGCTTCAAAGAGGAAGAGGTGACCACTCTCACACCGATGACATTTCCTGCCAGCTGTAGCAGACCGTGGCACCACTTGGGAGCACCATGGTCTTAAAACCTAGGCTGGCCACCTATACTGGGTGCAGGCATTATAGACAGGTTTGAATGAAGCAGGGAAAGGAGCCAGGGAGGCTCCGTGGAGAGGCCGAAGGTCCCTGCAACCATACTCGGTGGCAGAAATTAGGGTGCTGGTCACCGGGTGGGTGCCCTGGGGAACTGACCTGAAAGAGTGGTCAGAAAGCTTCTTGTGACTCTTCACTACTGAGACCGCAGCCATACCTAAAAACGAACTTCCAAACCCCATGGGAGGGTCTTGTTAGAAAAACGAGAAATATAACTTCCCTGAAAATTTCTGTCAATGCAGTTATGGGGTTTGTTTCCTTGGCAACAATGAGCTGGCTGTGGGAAAGGGGTTTTCCCAGCACCAGGCTGTCCCAGCACCTCAGACCCTGAGTACTCAATATGCAAATAGCGAAATCTACAAGGATCCTGAGGGCACAGCTGGGGTCCAGCCCAACCCTGCCCTGTGGCCTCCAGGAGGAAGGGTTAGAAAGTTGGAGCTCACTTTCTAGTCACCAAAAATCTTAGTTCACTTGTCATGTGCCTATTCTCATTGTAATTGTAGACAGATCTTAAATTTTTTTTTAACTATTATTTTAGTGGGGTCTCAGGAGGAAGAGGGATAAACACATCTGGTGAATCCACAGTCTTGGAAGAGGAGCTTTCTGTACCATACAGTCAGGAGGGAGGGGGGTATCTGTAAAGTATCCAACGTGTCCCTTTCCCTTCATTCTCTGATTAATTCACATCAAGGTGCTAATGGCAAACACTGTTTAATGTGTGCTTCTCCAAGGAAGGTTAGGATCTTAAACTGGGACTCTTAAATTTGACAGTGTCTAGTGGTCTTCAAAATTTTTGCTCATATACCCCCCAAATGAAATTTATAAAACTGTGTCTTTCTTTGCTCATTCTAAAGTTGACATCTATAATTTTGTCTTACTTTAAATATCTGCAAATGATAGAATTTCCAACATATTGTAAGATTGTCATTTAAAAAATAAAACCATTATATTACTCTTAATGTACTGAGTAAAATCTACATTGGCAAAAATCAGTGAAAGAAGTTTCTTCTAAATCGGAGAAACATTCAAGAAAATACAAAACAGGAACTTACCTCTCGTGTATATTCCTTTTACTTGCAAATGTAATGTCGATCTATTAGAGGTAACCTGGAAGTTGTCTTTAATTATTCAAAATATGCAGCTGACACCCAGACCAAGACAGATGAATGAAAATGCTCACCAAGCTTTTTCTTCTAGTGAGAAGGCGAAAATGCAGTGGGTTCCTGTCAGAGAAAGTCTTGCCTGGCATGCTTTACAGAGCTTGAATGTTCCAAATCTAAGATCGACAGAGGAATCACCCACTGAGCCCTGCTACAAACTTGTGGCTGGGATGAAGTAAGGCGCCACCGCCTTCACTATTATCTCTCACCCACACTCTCAGCTTTTTCTGGCTGCCTTGGGAGAGACTGTGTCTTGACAATAGACAGGAAGTAGAAGAGGCAACGTTCATTGTATAACAGCTGCCATCACTCCTGCCACCCCTCTCTACACCGCATCTGTTTGTAATGGCACGTTTCTACCTTCATAGAAATATGGACAAGATGGGAGGGGCACAAGGCCCTCCTTTGGGCTTATATTGTCTTTATTTGAGGAAACAACATTGATTAAAGCACCGATATTTCAAATTGTCCCTACATTAGGCACCCTGAAGTGTTTTACTTTCCAGAACATTGTACCACAGTAGCACCCAAGTTGGGTGAGAGGTAAGCCTTTCTTTTCAAACAGGGAGAAGGACAAGGTCTTCTCACTGCAGGGAAGTTTTAGGAAAGAGTACAGAAAGAAACTGAAAATCTGGAAACTGATTCTCTTAAAACTATCAGTGCCCACGTACTCTTTGAAAATCTGCAGGTGCCCTTGGGGGTAGGAGCATCTCAGTTGAAGACCCTGCCTTGGGCTGAATAAATGCATCTTCAGGCAGGGAAGTCAAGCATTGTGGGGTGCTATGAAGAGTGGATATTTAGAAGTGGACCCATCAGATCACATTATACAAGCTGCCATCCACTCTGTGAATAAGATTTGTCTCAAATGCAGCCAGCGATTTTCTAAGGCTGGGGCATTAGCTGAGCCTTGGGATGTATTCCCTCTAGTGAAGGGCTGTATTTGTCGTCCCACAGGCCTGGGCACACCTAAGAACAATCACGAAGTGGAAAAGCCCTTTTTCTTCCTTCTCTTCCTTCAGAATGATTTTTACTCCTCTCCACCCTGTGGACACCCGGAGGCCTCAACTGTCATCCTTCCCTATCAGCTTTTGACTTAAAGGGATCTCAGTGCCTGCCTGAACACTGAAAAATTTAGGATGGATGGCAGCTTCAACTGTGATTTTTGCCTGGAAAGTTTGTTTTCTAATAGCCTTAAGTCAATATTTCAGACATTTCTATACCATATTCACAATGTTTACCACATTCATATTATCATTTTCTTTTTTTTTTTTTTCCTCTAAATTAACTCACCTTTCTACCCCTACAAATTTATTTTAGACGGAAAACTATTGGATCTCCACTATACAGAGTATCTCTCCTGTCTTGGCCTAGATTCTCCAGAAAGCAAAGCTAGAAACCAAGGCCTAGTTTATTGGGAATGTGAGTCCAGTGGTGCAGGACAGGAGGATTGAAACAGGGAAGGAGGGAAAACCAGCACTAGGATGTCTTCCTGCATTGGCCTGTGCTGCAGGCAAGTGGTACTTGATTGCACTGGGACCTTCTGGAGAGCCTCATGAAATGTCTCAGAACTCTCCACCTGGGCCACAAAAGGGGAAAGCAGTTATCTATCAGCTTCCAGCCCCCTTTGGTTAAGAGTAGCCCCTTGGCCATTAACTTCCCATATTTCCAGGTTGAACATGCCTGAGTGCAGAACTTCCAAGGATATCCCATGCCAAGGCAACAGAGAAACCCCAGGGCCAGAAGCAGACCATGAAAGGTACAGGCCCAGGCAAGGTGCTATCAGGGTCTACACGTGCAAAACAGGTCGACTGACCAGCAGGGGTCGGCTGCTTACCGACGGGGTGCTCCAGAATTCTACACAGGGGTAGCAGGCTGGTAGGAAATGGGAGTAGGGGGTGGGGGGCGGGTGTGTGACTAAAATCTTCCTCACCCCACCCCTTGGTTCTGACATGGTGCTCATATGGTGTGCACTCAACCATGGCTAGGGTGACAGGGATACACTGGCCGTTATGGCTGCCAAGAGTCTGCCCTGTGAGGATGGTGGAGGTGGAGGTGGACCTTGTGAACTGAGCACTCTCCAAAAAGTGTCCACTATGTATGAGGTGGACGGCCCACTCCTGCAGTGGTGTGACTGTGACTAGGGAGGGGTAGCTCCGTGTGCTAAAACAAAACTTGAGACCAGCACAGAAACAGCTGGCCCACAGCTCACAGACTGTCTACCACCAAAGTCAATGGGCCCGCCCCTCCCCCCACAGGGGCACCTTTCTTCCCTCTCCCCGGGGCTGCCCAATGCAGTCTTCTCTCCCCTAGAGACTGCATAGTGATGAGGAAAGGCTAGGGTGTGGTTTGCCCTGGGCAACACCCTTTAAGGAGGTGACTGATAAAAAGGGACAGCAGAAGGAACTTCCTTAAATCATACTCAACGCGCTACCCATACCCTGCTTTGACTTAAACACTTCTGGTAAAGAATATCAGATCCTTTATCAAGTAAAAGGAAATTGGAAGGAGAAATGCCACCCATGTGATCTATCACCCAAAGAAAAACTGAGCGACTTGCCGTTATTTTGGAGACAGCAAGAAAAGAACATCTCAGAAGTGGGGCCTCATCCTTTGATTTTTAACACCAGAGAAAAAGAGGAATTGTTCTTCAACAAGTAAGTACATTTACTATTTGTCTTAATATGGGATAGCTTGGTAGAACTAGTTACCAACAAGCTGACTGCTTTTTAAACAAATATACTATTGCTCCTACCTCCAAGATGCTCACTTGCCCCCCCAAAGGAGCCTTTTTGGGGTCTCTCATTCCCATAGGAGGCTGAGACATCCCATGTTTGAGACATCCCAAACATCTTCTGGGTAGCATTGGACTGTGTGGTGGCAACCTGAGAGGACTGCATTGAAGTACAGCATTCATTTTCATTTCTAAATTTTGATAGATTTACTGGAAAAAAAATCAGCTTCCTCACTTTTTATGGTACATAATTTAAGTAAGTGATGTTTCCACTATGTCTTTTCTCTTCCCTTTTTACTGACAAACTTTTCTGTTGATTTGAGATCGTCTACCCCTGTGAGACATATTCTTTGTGTAGAAGTGTTTAAGAATTGAGACACTTGTCTTTACATGTTAATATGTTAAGAAAGAAGCAGTTTCATAACTTAAGGACTGCTTTGGACAGAATATGCCCTCACTGGTGCTCGGTGTTTCTCGGCATGTTCTGAAGAGGATCTTTCGTGGGTTGGCTGACTGATCCCAAGGGCTCTTAGAGTTGTCTGTGTTTTTAACAAAGTCTTCATCATCCCTATCCAGTAGACAGCCATTCCGTGGGAGAGCTGGTGTTGGTTCTTAGAACAAGCGCAAGAAAGTGTCACCTCCTCCGAGTTCCTCAACCTTTGCTTTTCCCCTGAGATTGAGTCCAAGTTTAAAGGTTGCTCAGATTAAGATCCCCGACTCATTTCAGGCAGGCAACTAGGGACTTTTACAACCCACGGTAGGCCGATCTTCCTTCCTGGGTGACTTTTATTTTTTTCCTTTTAGGTTGCGAAATAAATCCACAATCTTTGACATTCGGGAGATTAGAGACCCAAGTACACCATCCAGCCTCTCCTCGCTGTGTTTTGCAAACATCACAGAAGAACACTCGGTGTGGGGCAACTCAGTTGTCTTCTGCCCCCGCCTGGTGCATGCGAGGAGGAGCCCAGTTCTCTCTTGGTTCGAAATTGTTTGCTTTCGTTTCCATGGGTCATTCACTGACGTGGGGAACCCCACCACCCAAACACCCACACCTCAAGATCTTTCAGCTCTTGGTGCTGGCTGGCCTTTTCTACTTCTGTTCAGGTAAGCAACTTTCAGAAACTTGACTGAGTCCACTGCTTCAGGGTTTAGAGAAAGGAGATGATGTTCTCTGTGCTGCCACCTTCTGTCACCCTGAGAGCTGGAAGGGACCTTCAGGGTATTTCAGTCCATTTTAGGGCTGAGAAAACTGAGGTCTAGGGAAGTTACAGGATCTGCCCTTGATCACACAGTAAGTCAGCAGCCAAGTTACCTCAAGAACTCAGACCTCAGAGGAAGGGTGGGACAGTGTTATTTTAACAAAACCATAAAGCTGATTCAGAAGGACAGCTTAAAGTTGTGTCTCTTCCATGAACACGAGGTGCTCATTTACATTTTGTGATATGCTAAGGGCATTGGCCTCAGGCTCTGGTTTCCAAACTATATTTCTGTGAGACAACACAGCTAAAGTCCTCTGCTTCTAAAATTGAACAGTGATGGCCTTTCCAGTTTGAACGGGGAAAAGAAAGTAGTTGAGGCATATACAGTAATCCCCTCTTATTTGAAGTGTCGCTCTCCACGGTTTCGTCTCATATCATCACAGAAGGGGGAGTACAGTGCAATAAGATATTTTAAGAGAAACTACATTCGCATGACTTTTATTACAGTATATTGTTATAATTGTTCTATTTTATTATTAGTTATTGTTGTTAATCTCTTACTGTGCCTAATTTATAAATTAAACTTTCTCATAGGTTTGTCTGTATAGGAAAAAACATAGTATATAGAGGGTTTGGTCCTATCCGAGGTTTCAGGTGTCCACTGGGGGTCTTGGAATGTTATCCCCCTCGGATAAGGGAGGACAACCGTAATCTTCTTAGTGTTAAATTTTCCTCTTAACATTTATTTTTATGCTTTAGGTGCTGATGCCCTTAGTCACACTGGCATCTGACATTAAGTGGTATCAGACTTAGCACAAAATTATATCGTTAGTTATTTTTAATTTACTACGTAGGTGTTTCACGTATGTCCTACAAAGAATATTTTGACTTCTAGAGGCTTGTGTCCCAGCTCAGTGCTGGACTTGGGGGGCTGTCGGGAAGGGTGGGGCTCATCCTGCTGACAGGAGGGTTCTGACTTTTTTTAAAAGTCAAACCAAACAAAAGATCTGCTTTCTGCTGAGCAGCATACCCCCTGGTTTCCCCAGAATAAAGAAGAGGCTTTGGCTCCAGCCCGGTTTGCCAGTCTGCTAAGAGCCGAGTATCAGGGTCCTTGTCTTAGAGCTCCTTCCTTAAAACACATCTTCACTGCAGGCGTCACCTGGAACGTCTGAGGCGGGAGGGAGGGCGGAGGGCGGTGCAGGGAAGGGAAGAGGAGCTGGGGCACACAGGTTACCTGGCTGCAATGGTAGGAGTTGTTGCCCACATGTTTTACATTGTTGCTGAACCAAGAGAACCAGAGTGAAGTTTCACAATTTACACATCAGATTTTCTATCTATTTCACAGTTATTTTACATTTCCAACAGTTACAGTTTTCTTCTGGAAAGCTAGGGGAGCACTCCCAAACTAGAGTCTTCCGGGGAGTCTAAATGAGTTAAACAACATTTAGAAGGAAATGTATATGGGCTTCCTAGACGGGGTGTGTGTATGTGTAAGAGAGAAACAATAAATGAGAGAACATATAAAAAGAAAATGAAAACCAAAGCTTTAGCAATTATACCAGGAAAATTAGTCAGAGGCAAATGGAAGGAGGTGATCTTTGAGCTAAAGAAAGATATTTAGGAAAGCACCTTGTTCTACAGCCATATCCAGATTTGATTGTTGCTGTACTGAGTCAACAAATTAATCCATGAGCTTCTTATCGCCAAACACCTACTATGCATCAGGTAGGCCTTAAAAACTGAGCCTGGGATTCCTGCCCTCAAAGAGATTTGCGTATGTTAGTTGGAGAGGGCAAAACTACCCCCCAGGAAGCAAGTGAAGTGCAGTCAAGTGCCCAGTCTTGACTCTTAGGGCCCCAGGTCTGGGAAGGGCAGGACCAGGGTGGGCTGCAGCAGCTGAGGCCAGCTTTATGGTGAAGGGTGGGTGATCATTTATTAATTCAGTAAATATTGAGCTTCTCCTATGTACAAGACACTTTTCTTGGTCCTGGGGACAAGTGGTGAGCAAAATTGACACGGCTTTTGGCTTCATGAAATTTATGGTCATTAGGAAGAAGATGAAAATTAATCAAATAATCACTCACATGAATATATGACCAACAAACACTGTCTTTCCCTGCTGGAGGGGAGAGTGGTGAGAGTGAGCTGAGTGAAGGCAGAAGGAGCAGTGTGTGAGGGAAACAGAGGAGCAAGGAAGTACAGATGGCCAGTGTGGGGTAGTGGCGGGGAGGGACCAGACCCCATGGGGCTTGAAGAATGTGGTCAGGAGCATTAGTGTTATTTGGAGGGCACTGGGAAGCCATGGGAGGGTTTTAATCAGGGGAGTGACATGGTCTGTACCAGAGCTGCTCACACTTTAGCTATACATGCCAATCACCTGGGGGCCTTGTTCAAATGTAGTTTCTAGAGGATTTTTAGGGCAGTGAAAATACTCTGTATGATACTATAATGGTGGATACATGTCGTTATACATTTGTCAAAACCCATAGAATGTACAACACCAAGAGTGATCCCTAATGTAAACTGTGGACTTTGGGTGATGATGTATTAATGTAGGTTCATCGATTGTCACAATGTGCCACTCTGGTGGGGTATGTTGATGGTGGGGGAGGCTCTGTGTGTGGAGGGGAGGGGGTATATGGGTATTCTCTGTACTTTCCATTCATTTTGCAGTGAACCAAAAATTGGCTTTAAAAAATAAAGTATATACATTTAAAATAATGCAGTTCCTGCTTAGGTGGGTCTGGGGTGGGGCCTGGGAATCTGCATTCTGAACAAGCACCCAGGTGACGTCGATGCCACTGGTCCACACACCTTTAGTTTGAGTAGTAAAGCTCTAAATGACATTTTAAAAAACCGGAGTTGCCGAAGCATAAAGAATGGCTTGTAGGGCAGCCAGAGTGATTGTGCAAAACCATCAGGAGGCTGTTTTCATAGCTCACAGTATCTGACGACAGGTTTGATGAAGAGAATGGGGTCGGCGGGAGACAGATGGACTGGAGGGTGTGTGTGATGTAGAATTGGTGGGGATTTGCCAGACCGGCGTGTAGATGTGAGTTGTGTGTGATCTGTGGGAGACAAGACGGGGTGAAGGGGGCGGAGTACGGTTACAGAGGACTTTGTTCCAGGGCAGGGGATTTGTCACACTACACTCTCCTCTCCTGCCCTGGGTCACTTCCACCCGTCCCCAGCCATTGCTATCCAGGACAGGTGACGTCTCTTTCCTACACAGGGTGGGACCAGCTGGGCCCCTCTCCACTTCAAGTTTGGTCTGTGGAGGCAGAAACGCTGGACTCACATACCCCAGAACCTGGTGGTTGTAGGGCAGAGGGTCTAACAGGGTAGCTCTGGGAGGGGCCCACGTGGGCAGCTTTTCCTCAGACCTGGGGTCCTTTCGGAGAGACCCAGCTCTATGGGGAGGGGAGAGGCCTTTGGTCTGACTGGGACAGGGAGGCAGGGAAGATGTTGGCCAGTAAGTCCACGGCATGAGGAACACTGAGCTGGAGGAAAAGAGAACGTCCTCAGAGTGCCTCCACAGACAGAGCCTCACCCCCACCCCATGTACTGTCCAAATGCTGCTGGCCAAGGCGTCCCACAGGCCACGGTTCTTGCCGTGACTACCCTGATATGGGCTATTCAAGTTCCTGAGCATTTTAAAGATATAAATCCTGTTTAGCGACACACACAAAAGTAAAGATCAGATTTATACAGAGTATATAGGCTGAGCCTAAAGAGGAGAGAAAGTCGGGAGCGGTGCGAAAAGCAGGTGACGAGTCTCAAATCTGTCAGCTGCTGGAGAGCAGATACCTCTGTCCTCCTTGTGTGCCCAGCACCCAGCCCAGGGCCGACACAAGCCCCGTGGGTGCTGGTTCACTTAGTCAGAGGCACTTAGAAGTGTCTAAAAAGGTCCCTTCCATTGGAAGGATATACACAGACCATTAATAGCAAATCTCCTGGTGGTGGGATTATAGGGGACTCTTACGCTTCTCTGTGTTTTCCATTCTTTCTAAATTGAATGTGTTTCTTTTAGAGTCAGGGAAAATCTATTTAAAAAGCACATTTAAGTCCTCAGTGAGATAATGTACATCACAGCACGTGGTGATTGAAGCTGCTGGACCCAGCTGATTCTTTTTTTTGTTGTTTTTTTTGTGAGGAAGATCAGCCCTGAACTAACATCCATGCCAATCCTCCTCTTTTTGCTGAGGAAGACAAGCCCTGGGCTAACATCCGTGCCCATCTTCCTCCACTTTATGTGGGATGCCGCCACAGCATGGCTTGCCAAGCAGTGTGTTGGTGCGCGCCCAGGATCGGAACCCTGGGCTGCCAGCAGCGGAGCACGCGCACTTAACCGCTATGCCACGGGGCCGGCCCCACAGCCAATTCTTTCTCCATTAGGAGAAGTGGTGGCGCAGCCCTGCTGACCGCTGCTGAGGTTCAACTCCGAGGAAGGGCACTGTGGCCAGGCTGCTGTGTCCACACTGTCTCCCGCCGGTTTGGAGGGATTAGGGGAGACTCATGGCTTCCTAGATTGGGGTTTTTTTTTAAGCTATACTTTAAATTTTATTATATTTATTATTGTATCTCCCAATTTTCCTGCATTTTTTTGCAGTGGTGTAAAATTAACCATTTTAAAGTGTATAATTCAGTGGTTTTTAGTGTCTTCACAATGTTGTGAAACCATCACCACTATCTAATTTCAGAACATTTCCATCACTCTAAAAATAAACTCCATACCCATTAGCAATCACTCTCCATTTCCCTCTGCCCCATTTCCTAGTAACCACTAATCTACTTTATGTCTCTATGAATTTGCCTATTCTGGACATTTCGTATAAATGGAGTCCTACGGTATGTGGCCTTTTTCACTTAGCATAATGTTTTCAAAGTTCAT